AGAAAGAATTTATTTTTCCCTACAACTTAGTCTCAAACGTCATTTCAATAAGAAGTGACGTTTTCGAGCTACGATTTATTGAAAAATCAGTGCCAACATTTCAAAGGGGCGTAATTGCATTTGTAAACAATGACTTTAGCCGTCGATTTCTCGCGAATAAAAGCTCACTCATGAAAAATAATCACACCAACAGGTAGAGGAATGTTTCCTCTACCAGCTAGCATTGTAATTTTGGAGAGGTAAGATTTAATTCGCGAGAAATTGACGACTAAAGTCATTGTTTACAAAAGCAATTACGCCCCTTTGAAATGTTGCCACTGAAATATCGAATACGCCATTCTGAAAATATTGCAAAAATCAAAAGTTTCATGAATACAGAGGAAGTTAGAGTCAAAAATACATTAATTTTTTGCTGCTCTTTTAATCATTTACCGACGTTTCCCGTTTTGGACCCTTTACATTTGTATTTATTTTATTAGTGGATATTGGATCATTTGGCAGAAGGTCATTAAGCCGAATGGTCACTAAGCTGAGCGATCATCACTTTGCCAAATTTCGGATAATTATTACTTTACACATAGTGCTTATGCACATAATCGGATAAATATTTCGTGACATTTTGACATACTTAGTTTTTTAATATGTTTTTAGGATTTTCGCTTAATTTTTTTTGTACATTCTACCCAGAAAAACAACTTTGTCTCAGACGTCATTTCGATCAGAATTACTGTTTACGTGCTGCATGTTTTTGAAAAGTTTCAAAGGTGCCTTTTTAAAAAATGTACAAGATCCAAAATGTCCGAATTTTGACAAAAAATGTGAATCGTTCCCCATAACAAATAATTACGCAAAGTTTCATACAAAGCTTCGGTGAAGGTCGATACAAAAATTGCTTATTTTTTTAGCTATTTTGCTTAGAACTGCTCTATTTGTACACTAATAAAAAATCAAAGATTATTTTCTATGTGTCCCACACATGAATTTTTGCTATGTGATAAACAAATGATAGGGAAAATGGCTCTAATGTTGGCCTATGGATCTAAGATTGGACCAATCGCTAAATATCTACTATTTATCAATTTTATCTAGATAAACGCGTCATTGGGACGGTACTAATGGATATTTTTGGTCGCTATTGAAAATTTAGTCGATTGCTGCATCTATGTATGGGCCCAAATTAGGGGCATTTAGGCCGACATTACATCCATTTCCCCTATATATGTGTCGGGCACATAGTTCTTATGTGTACACATAAAATTCACGTTCACGTGTGCACACATGAAAATCACATGGAAATTTTGCCAATAATAATGTGTAAAAAATTTTCAGTTTTTTTAAACTTTCTGGCAAAGCATTGTTATTTTTTCAGTGTATATTCCTTTCTGAAAAGGAAATTCCTTTTTCCACAACTTTGTCTAAAACGTCATTTCGATTTGGTGAGCCCTTTTCGTGCTAACAAAATCTTCGTATACGCGATCCAAAATGCAGATAACATAGGATCTTAAGGTTCAATTTACTTTGATGCTTTTTGGAAAATTTCAAAAGCAGTTTTTTCCGACGCATTATTTCAGATTGCAAAAAGCTCGCACTATTCGATTCCTTTTGATATTTTACACAAAATGACGCGAGCTTTTTGCAATCTAAAATAATGCGTCGAAAAAACTGCTTTTGAATTTTTAAAAAATGCATCAAAGTAAATTGAACCTTAAAGCACGTCACCAAAACAACGTGAAGCCTGTAACGCATGCCTCGCAACCTGCGAGATTTCCACCACTGAATACGCTTCCTGTCTCAAGAACAAGTGGCTTAAGCGCCACCTCCGAAGAGGACTTCTCGTCAAGGTTTGATTTGCCCGGCAAGAAACCCAACCTTAGTGAGGGTTTATGTATGGAAGAGACCAAAATTTAGTTTGAGGGCGATTCAGCAGACTGAAATCCCATGAGGAATTAAGATCCTCACAATCAGAGGCCGCTTCATAGTTCCTAAGCGAAAGTTGGTGCTAACCTTCGTTCTACCGAAGCACAACAACCCCACTCACATTTATCACGACTGGAGGAACTTTCCCTTTCAGATTTCCTCCACCGATCCTGACACGTGAGTGCGGAGACTGTTTCCCCAGGCACTCCAACCTGGAGTGAATTCAACTACAGCTATCCCCCGAAGAACGCGTTACCCACTGAGTTGCACCCACCGCTTTTGCATGTGAGTAGTGTCAATCGAGAACTAGTCACTAGCAGAAAATCAGAGCGCTTGTTTGAAAACCCACCGAGAAAAAGCTGTGGGTAGAACTCAGTGGGTAACGCGTTCTTTGGGGGAAAGCTGTACAACCAAAAAAAAATACTACAAATACTAAGTACACTTAAGTACTAACTACTCGCACTCTCGCCTCTTCTACGGTTCAAGTCAAAGTGAACGAGTAGAAGTTCCAGAAACCCTCAGGATAGGTGTGACTCAACAGTCATCGTGGCCGGAAGTACGTCAAATTACCGAAGTAATTCAACGACCTTTCAAACGTCAATTCTCTTCATCAAGGGCATAGCCAGATTTTGAGTTAGGGAGCGGCGAAAAAAAAAATACTATGGAAAATTTGGCCGAATGCCATTTTACCGAACGCCATTTCACCGAAAGTATTTGTGTTGCTGAGTTTAGACTGCCCCCTGTCCTCCTCTGGCTACGCCTATGATGCTACATGTCTTTCCTCATCATGCAATTTCAATATACTGTCTTGCTCAAATCTATTTTCGGTTAATCTTTTATAAAAGAGAACAGTTCGGATTCGTACCCCGTACCGTAACGAACAGGTAGCGCATTCGGGTCAAATGAAATAAATTGGCTGAAAGTATTGGGAGCTCATTGATTTTTGTATGTCAAGTGTAACTCTTCATGAGTGGCGGTGAATACGTTTATAAATTAAATGATGTGATGATAGTGGTTTACCACCCATTGTAGCACGGAAACTAAGTCCGACAGCAGTGGGCTCTCTTCTCTGTTTGTCTTGATCAAGCTTGATAACCTCTGATTGTCCTCAACATGTCGCTGTATGAAGGGCCAAAACGGATTGGGTGGATCGATAGGCAAAGTCGCCTATACGCATCTACGGAACAATCAAAAATCTCCTTCCAGCAACTTGATCAGCCAATTGGTCAAAAAGACAAGCCCCCAAGCAGGAAGATGCCCCAATGAGTGGAGAGAAGAGCCCACCCTTTATCCACGAAATGTTATCAACAGGGAGTTTACATTCCCACTCTCTCCGTCCAAATCGCTTCAATCGGGTGCCCCATTTTATATATGTTTTTCAATATGTATACAAGTTGATTGTTATGATTATTGTCAATAATACTTAGATTTCGATGAAGATCGTGATACTTATCATTACAAAAACTATTTACTTCCACTTATATTCCACTGGTATCGATGACAGATACGTATTTCGACTACAATGTGCAGTCTTCATCAGTGTCATTCCCACATTTGCTGTTTTATTTAAGCATTCCACTAACAACCTAATTTCATTACTTCATTATGATGGCTACCAAGCCTATGGGATTTTTGTTAGATCATGCGACACTGTAATCACTACTATTTTATATGTATAATTTGTCAAGTTTATACAACTCAATGTTTCAAATGAGGTAAACTTTTTATCTAATAATTACAAAAACAAACTTAACATTACAATTATATGCAAATGCAAAACAAAATCAACAAGTTCTTGGGCAGCATATAGTAGATTCTCTCACTATAAACCTGTCATTTCTAGCCTATCTGAACTATTAAATAAATGCAAACCAAAACATGGGTTACGCTCCCCCTAAGCGGGCCCTCCGCATCCTATCTCTGTCCAATCTCAAATACCTAATGCCAATGGTTTGAATGTATCAATGGAAAGCGTACTTGTTACAAGCCAAAGGTAAGTCAGCTAAGATCAAGCGATCATTTAAACTGGATACCCAAGCAACACACACGTTTTATAGCAGTTTATATAACATTTGTATAACTGGTTGTGGTTGTAATGAAGTTTACTCAACACAATTCTATGGATTTGTGTTACTTGGGTACAGAACCTTCTTCAACTCCGACAACAGAACTACCATCCATGACTTCAACAAGGATGTTGAACACCGCATCCAAGCCACTGAAATCATCGCGGGATCGTACAAAACGTACATATTTCACCTAATAGGGATCAAACCTCCCCCATGAGGTGATCAAGGAAAATTTAAAGAATTTTTGAAACATGAGTAGCAGGGAATCAAGTGTGCCAGTCTCCCCTACAGTCAACTTTCTCCTACCCGCATTTCTCAAACTAGATATTCTCCTGAACTCGTCGGAAATCTAGGCTATTGCGAACCCTTTTGTATTTTAAAAAACATCTTCCTATCTTCTTCCTATCTCGATGGTTCCTCCAATATCGAGCAAGTGTAGAGTTGATTGTACCGAAATTCTCATTACTATACGTCGAAACGAGCAAAAAAATACAATTCATTCCAAAGCCGTGCATTAACCAATCAAGATCCAATCTTCAAGATTTCCCACATGCCACCGTATATCCATCTCACCTTCTCGTCTCTTACCAGAAGGAGGAGAAAACATCAGAAACCATATGTGACCATTCTATTCCCATGCACATTGGCCACAGAAAATTCAATTTTAAATCCCATAAAAGAGATTAAATCAGTGCCCGTGCACACACGTCCTTTATGCGAGCGATACCTTCCGTCTTCTATAGTTAGTCGTCGGACGTACCGTGTGATATCTAAAAGCTCTCGAAATAGAATGTTGAGGAATAACAATAAAGAATGACTGGAAAACGGAAAATGGCCGCATCCTATCTTCCGTTATATTCTTACCGTAAATCACCAAACTCCTACGGTGTCATAGTCAAACGGAGATGCTCCCCCTCTATTGTTGTACTTCTTTTGAAGTGTTTTTAAAGAAATTGGCACAATTCATCAACTACTTTATTATTTATATTAGTTTTTTGTTGTTTTTCGTTCTAGTTAAACCATACTACTGACTTTGGTTACATCCATCTACATTGTGTCGAAAAAAAAACAGTTTTTATAACCTCAGTGGGCCGTCATTAAAAATATATATATTAATCAAACATATCAGTAACTAAGCAACTAGACTAGATAGAAGTTAGACGCAGTGTGCGAAAAATTAAAAAAAAATGAATCGCAACCGGACTGAAGCGTTTGAAAAGTATCAATTTGGCGATACTGAGTTTGAGGTCCCTTCGCGATACAAGACCCTGGAAGCGAAGGGCTTCGGTGCCCAGGGTATGGTCTGGTAAGTTCCAAGTCCTGAAACTAAACCGTTCGGTCGCATGCAGTAACTAACCTAAACAGCTCACATCGCTCACCATCCCATCGCATCGCATCGCCCCCATGTGTGAATTGACCTAAGCACGTTACTAATAATTTTAACATAACATACCCCCCCCCCCCCCTCTTGTAACCGCTCCACACCTGGAGAGCAGTAATTGCCGTGACACCAAAAGTTAATCATATTCCATAAACTCAATTTTCCTCATTCCTGGTGACAAGTGCAAGCAAACAAAGTAGTCTGCTGTTTTTTCATCCAGTCAGTTGCTGCCGTTGGCAACTGTCACCGCGGGTCGGAAATCCCTGAAGGAATGTAAATTATGGCAAACATCAAAACGGTAGCCGCATTCCATATCGTGTGTATCTGCCGTCCCGCGGAGGTTGGGAAAACGGAAAGGAGTCATCCCATCGTTCCACCCATTATCGTTGCCTCGCATTGCAGTGGAAAGGATTTTCTGTAAAGTGTCGCTTTTGTTATGCAGGGTTGGAATGTCGATCCGAAACGATTATTTGTACATTTTTTTTCCCCGCCTACTACGGGCGCCCACTGGCGTCACAACGCATGGTGCTTTATTAACAATGAGCCTGTATTATCATAAAAGAAACTAATGAACGCTGACGCCTTATGAAAGCACTAACGTCAGCTTCTTACCCAAACTAAAACAGCTTTTATTTTGTCGCGATTGAATAACCGCTAAGGAGCCGCAAAGTCTGAGTGAACTAATTTTTCTCCATCTCTCCCTCTCTGTTTCTCGTTGCAATTTCAGTGCCGCATACGATACCCTCACCCAGCAGAATGTCGCCATCAAAAAGCTATCACGGCCGTTCCAAAACGTCACACATGCCAAACGAGCCTACAGGGAGTTTAAGCTTATGAAATTAGTCAACCATAAAAATGTAAGTATATTTCTTTGAATGTCCACCCCCACACCATCTCGCTTTAATGAAATAATTTCACGACTCGTCAGAGGATAAGGTTGATATAGTGCGAAATTGATCACGCATTTTTGTATTATACTGGGTTGTTTTCATGTGTATGTGCTCATTGAGTATAATAATCTATCGAACGGTTTTTGTTGGAATCACTTGATCATACAGAAATGCTTCTCTAGTTTGAACGTAAAAATAAAGATTCTTGAAAAATTTCCTTGTTCGCTACAGTCTATAGTTAGAACTTTCATTGCATTTCTAGTAGAAAACAAAAAGCGGATGTAAGAATCTTGTTCTAACCTGCTCTGAATATGCCATGTGTTATGCATGTTATAATCATTGTAAGTTTTTTTGACGTAGGACTACGTCTTTGATTTCTATATGGGGGTACACTTTGTAAAAACCGAAAATGGAACATGTAACAAATTAAGAAAGATTTTGAACGTTAATAACTCAGCTGCCCCTGGTCCAATTTCAATAATTTTATCACCAATCGATCAGAAATATGGCTACGCATCGATAACAATGCTTCCGAATGTTGATTTTCAACAAGAAACTATTAAAAAACTGGTAAATATCCAGCATTGTCCAAAAGCGTCGAATTAACTAATAAATCCACCAATTACCTACATGCATATGCTGCTTCCCCAGCACAGTCGTCAGAGAGTAGTAAGTAGACGAAACAAGTCGAAGTGGCATTCGCCTCCGATCCTCGGGCGCGAGTGAATAGGGAGGATTGAATTGCGTAATATTTTGCACACTCATTGCCATATTCAGAACCACAAGCTTCCAACGACCACACAAAATGCTCTCCTGAGTTGAAATCTTGTAACCAAACTTGGAAACAGGAGATACACTCAAAAAATATATGACATAGCATGTCATCCATGTGAATTTCACATAGCTTTCCAAAAAAAAGTTGACGACAGCCTAAAGAAATCGTTTATGGACTTTGTCGTTCAGTTTTTTCCTGGAAATTTTTGTTAAATAAGCTAGAATTAAATAAAAAAGGGTTTTATCCCATACATTTTTTAACCGCTTTACTACCAATCCCCAGAGAGCCAAAACATTCAAATTTGAAGGAGAAAATTCACTCTCACGATCTCAATATCTCAACATTCCATGTATTTTGATGACACTCTGTAACATTTGGTAGGGGAGGGAGGATTAACATTTGAAGTCCCTCCCATTTTGCATATTCTGCAAAAAAATACATAAACATTCCCTCACTTTTAACATATTCTGCAAGAAAATACTATTTATCAAAAATTTCTAGGAAAAAACTGGCTGATAATGAATGATTTCTTTTGACTTATTTTGACCATAATATGCATCCAAAACGATCCATCCACTTATCCAAATTTCAAACATAAGGGGGGAAGTACAATTAAAAGGCCTAAAATGAGGCCTATCTTTGAGAGTGGATTGCGAGTAGGGAAATAAATGAATGTTAGCGATTCTTTATGTATGTTATTAAGGGTTTAATGATGATTAATTATCAGTGACATTTTTTTTAAATTTTGCAATTTAGCCCAATTATTATAAATAATGTGAAGTCAATTTTTTAAAGCAGCACTTCGCGCCGTGCAGTCCCTACGTCCATGATCACGTCTGAAACAAAAAAAAACAGGACATTAAATTTGAAGGTACAGCGCACAACATGAATTAATTCGTATGTAAAATAATGTTTTTTTCACAAAAAAATTTTAAGTTGAAAAAAAAAATTAAAAAACCCTATTTTTTCGACTTTGTTTATAAAAAAACATGATATAACAAACAAATCTAAAAAATCTTTCTATTCATGTTGTGGAGAATTTAATTATGAACATAAAACAGAAAACCGGAATCGATTTGAATGAAAACTCTGACCTGTACATTGCACGGCGATTTTGAAAACACTACTTTTCAGTAGAAGCATTTAAAGTTCAACTTTGACATGTTCAGCCATTTGACATGCACTCACTGAATTGCGTATAACTTTTTAAATAAGTTCCGGACGGCTTTATGCTTTTAAAGGCTCATTTCCAGATACATATAGAGTAAATTAAGCCAACAAAATTTTTTTCGAAAAAAAAAAAATTCCAATTGTACTTCCCCCCTTCGGCTTGTACTCGAAAAAATGCACCATTTTTATCCATGTGTAACTTTTTTATCCGTGGGTAAAAATTGATGAAAATCAGGGTATAACTAGTTTGGAGTAAATTGTTTACATGTGCAAAATTTCATAACAATCGATTCAGTGGTTATTGAGATGTCATCGAAACAAGAAGAAAATCGCCGGAGAATTTTGCGCGCCGTCATGGGAAATCCGACTGCGACCATGAGATGGATCGGAAGACAACTGGGAATCACCCATACAACTGTGTCTCGGATGGTAAAATCGTTTAAGGAGTCCCAGACGACCGAGCGGCGGGCTGAAAGTGGAAGAAAATCGAAGACAGCTGACCGTGTGAAGGCCTGGAAGGTGTTGGATTATTTCAAGCGTAATCCGAACCTTTCGATTCGCGACGCGGCTCTGAAGGCAAAGTGTTCCACCTGGTTCGTTCAGCAAACCATGAACCGAGCTGGGCTTCGTGTATTCAAGGTCCGGAAGACACCAAACCGGCGTGATCAACAAAACACGGCGGTCAAATCCCGCGCAAGGAAGCTGTATCGAGAGTGGTTAACGAAACCGATGTGTTCTACGTTGCCAAATCACGGTTTGATGTTCCGGAAGACATAAGGAAGAAGAAAGTGGATAAATTCGCCAAAAAATACTTGCTCTGGCAGACCATATGCCAATGCGGTAAACTGAGTAAACCGTACATCGCAATGGGTACCATCAACAGCGAAATTTACCGCACCGAGTGCCTCCAGAAGCGTCTGTTGCCCTTCCTGCGGTTCCACGGAGGCGAGACATTATTTTAGCTGGACCTGGCATCATGCAATTACGCGCGATCGACGTTGGAATGGTACATAGACAATAACCTTGTTTTTGTACCAAAAACCGCCAACCCCCCAAATTCACCAGAGATTCGTCCGGTGGAAAGATTTTGGGCCATAATGAAGACCAAAGTTCGAAAATCGTCCAAGGTGTTTAAGAACGAGCTGGAGTTGAAGAAAAAATGGATGAAAGTGACCAAAAAGGTCGGCTCCACCATTGCACAGTGGTCCAGAATGCAGATTTAGGTGGAATGATATGTTTTGAGACTGTAATTGCAACATTAGACTAAAAGTCTCTTGTACAAAGTTGTTCCTTATAGTTAGGCCCTTATTTTTATGACATTGAATTCTAGGGTGGTTCCTATTATCATTAAAATCAATAATCTAACTTTTTTGTTTGAATAAATTAAAGTATTCATTCTTGGGCAAAGTTATAGCTGAGCTAATTTCAAGCAACTTTGTTCAAAACATCTTTTTTGTATCTTTTAAATTGGCCGATTAAGAGCTATTTTCTTGAATTGAGTTAGGGTGGCGCTTAAAAAACAGTTATTTTGCTCTAGTTTACTTATTTCAAATTTCTCAGCAAAGGTGTTTTCAAATGACTTTTAGATCTTTAGAAGGTGCTGCAAAAAGCTTGTGAATATTTTTCGCCGATCAAGAGTTATTGACGTTTTTGTACTAAAAATATGCACTTTTCAAATGTTAATATCTCTGGTTGGGGCAAACAAAAAAAAATGTTTTCATATGGCATTTGAAAGAGCGTATGTTGTTCTGATTAATATGAAAAAAATTGGAGGATGTTATTTTTTAAACTCGTATAAAATCAATTCGAATTTATTCTTTTTTTTTACAATATTTGGGTATATCTTTTTTATTAGAAGAGATACAGACAACAAATTTCGCTATAAAACATTCGTCTTAAGGTGTTTTAAAAGTTTTTAGAGGATGACTTTCATGAGAAATTTGAAATAAAAATGTTAGTGCTAAAAAACTATCCCTAAGTCAACTCCTAAAAATTACTCTAAAATGAGAACGTTAAGAGATAGAAACAAATTTTCTTCGACAAAGTTGCTTGCAATCAACTTAACTACAATTTTTTCAAACAACATATGTTTTTATTTTGTAAAACAAAAAAGTTAGTTGTAAAAATTCCCTAATTTGAGGACCACCCTGACGTTTGCAAACTCATTAACGGCCCTGGTGGTGTAGTGGTAAGCGTGATTACCTCTCACCCCAGCAGGCCTGGGTTCAATCCCAGTCGGCGCCGCCGGGATGTTCTGAGGCATAACATCTCTGATCACGCCTTCCTTCGGATGGGAAGTAAAGCCGTTGGTCCCCGGTTCATGAGTTGATGGGTCGATAGGTAGAGTCCAGGTGTGGGAGCTGCCTTCCTGGCACGTCGGTAGCATTGGTGCTCAGCACGGAAAACAAGATCGACGGAAAAACCAAACCAAAGGTTTGCAAACACCAAAAGAAGGGAATTTTTAAGAACAAAAACTTCTTCTAAGACACTAAATGTCCAAGTATTGAAACAAATGCACTAGCACATTTTATTTAAATTTGTCACTAGAGTGGTCCTATGAAATCCATCTTTTGTCAATAACTTTTTTATTTGAAATTTCTCATGAAAGTCATTTTCTAGAGACTTTTAAAACTCTTTAAGGCGAATGTTTTAAAGTGAAATTTGTTGTCTGTATCTCTTCTAATAAAAAAGATATACCCAAATATAGTAAAAAATATGAATAACTTCAAATTGATTTTAGACGAGTTTAAAAAATATCATACCTCCAAGTTTTTCATATTATTCAGAATAACATACGCTTTTTTCAATGCCGACAACAACTTTTTTTTTTGTTTGCCCCAACCAGAGATATTACATCCCGCATAGAAAATTACCATTTCTAGAACAGTTCAAACTTCACTGACACCTTACTAGCTATGTTAACTGTACACAAAATAGTTTTGTTATGGTTTATGGAATGTAATAAACATTAAAGAAACGCTACTTTCAACTGTTACAGTTTATGGTATGTTCCAGCTAAATT